TACTTGACTGTTCTTGAGATTATTTATTTCATTTGGAATTTAAGAACATTTTTTCTTTAAAAAAATTAATTTGACAGATGTTGTATATGCAGTTAAACTTTAAAACAATGCAATTCCTAAAATAGAAACCAATGAGTAGTTCATTCTGAAAGACCTATTTTTCTCTTTTGAATATTTATTATTGCACATTAATAAAACAAAGGCATTTTCTTATCAGATTCCTTGATTAATTAATGGAATAATTGATAGAATACTGATTACTAAAATAATTAATGGCTGCAGCCTTCAAAATAAGACAAAGTTCATCCTTATAATGTCTCTGGATTGGTACACTTTATTGTAGAATATCTTAGTTAGCTAATGTTTAAATATTTAATAGCTCTTGGGGTTTTTTCACAGTGGCACTGAGAGGCCAAACAGACTGCAACTTAAGAAAACACCAGCATATATTTTGAGGTAAGTTGATTTATAGTGTTATATCATATTTTATAAGGATTTTATGTGTTTGTATCATCTCTGTTCACTCCTGTCAGACTCATTTAGCAAAAATCATCCTGTTTAAGGTTCAGTTTTCATCTGTTCTATATGAATTAAGACAGTTATGATGTGGCATGATTATACTCACAAATTAAAGGAATATTTAATATACCAGTCTACTTATTTTATCAGAAACATGCAATTTATGGCTTTGTTAATCGGATGGTTGCCGGTTCGAGCCCCGGCTCCGACAGTCTCGGCCGTTGTGTTCTTGGGCAAAACACTTCACCCATTGCCAAACTGGTGGTGGTCAGAGGGCCCGGTGGCTGCCCCAGGCGGCAGCCTCGCCTCTGTCAGTGCACCCCAGGGCTGTGGCTACAATGTAGCTTGCCATCACCAGTGTGTGAATGTGTGTGTGAATGGGTGGATGACTGAATGTAGTATAAAGCGCTTTGGGGTCCTTAGGGACTAGTAAAGCACTATACAAATGCAGGCCATTTACCATTTATTTGGCATGTGTGTTAAACTAAAGCATCACACAGTATCAAGGGAAGTAGGGAGTAAATTTAAAAGAAAAGGCTTTTTTTTTGCTATTATCTATTGTTTGCTGTTGTTCCTAGGGTAATTTACTCTTGGCATCCTGAGGGAGTTTATGCAGTTGGTAGTCTATGGCTGTTAAATATTTCAGTAGGATGAGGGTTAAATTGTAACTTTAGTTACTTTGTGTTATGTTGTATTGTGTGTGCTTTTGCGGTGTTTTTGTATTTGCTTATGTTTTCTTAGGTTGCAGTCTGTTTGGCCTCTCAGGGCCACAATATTTTTCCTTCAAGCTTGACTCTCGACTCATGCCTGCAAAGTTTGGGAGAGATTGGACATTGTGTTTTCGAGTGACAGCAGATTACTGCTTTTTGGCGAGTGATTGAAACTCCACGTGCTAACTCCCTAAACGTAAAATGCTTCACAATTTAACATCACAAAGGTCTTTAGATTCCATGCTTCCACTGGAGATCGTGTCGATCTGATAAAATCCCTTGGAGGAGTTTGTCAAAGTATGAGGCCTGAAAAGAGGGGAAAATGTCGCCAAAATTACACATTAATTTTAAAACACCCGACTTCTTGTTGGATTTGGGATATTGCTCCAAGAGACTTTTTTTGTACATCTTGGTACCCTACATAAGCTTACCAGGTTTCAGACTCATAGATGAAACACGGAGCAGGGGCTGATGTTTTTAAATTTTGCAGGGGGCGCTGTGGAGCCATTTTGCAATATTCCATGAAAATGATCACATAACTAGAAAACCTTCATCACATTGGAGGTGTGGGCCAAATTTCAAGAGTTTTTAAACTTTCCAAGCCCCTCAAAAGCCACTTCATCTTTCATGGTGAACCGCCTTGCCACCAGGGTGCGCCATTCAGTTTAAACTCACAATTTTTGTCACTGTAGCATCATGAGGGACTAATGTTAATATTCCCCGCTTTTGAGGTGGACCTGATGAACCTGTGAAAATCAGTATATCAAAGTGAAAGACATGACATCTCCTGTTCCCACTAGGTGGTGCTCTGCGTATTCCTGACAATGGGCATATCAATCTGTTCAGGATGGCTACGTAATCATGTCTGTAAAATTTGGTAATGATGGAAATGACTGGATTTCTTTGAGTTATGGCGTTTTCGTTCTTCACGGCGAGACATCAATG